CAAATGGCAGGCGTTTTGATAATTATCATAAGCCCTTTAGCCGACTTTGGGCTTCACAGAGGGGAAGGAACATCAAAGTGACAGAGGCACAAAGGTAGAAAAAAGGTGAGGTGAGCACTGTGGAAGGGGTCAAATGTGACACAGCGCCGAGTAATCGTAGTTTGAAGTCAAAAGGGAACTGTCGGTTTATAGACTTCTTTGCCGTTTGAGTGTACGTTCCCCAGGGTGCACGAATTTTTGAATATGGGGTATTAGACAATGCACTGAAGGTTAAATTTGCATTGGCAAATGATTTTATGGGAAGTAAAGTAATGGCTCACAGTACTGTAAGGCACAGCTCTCACCTAGTAAATATTGCCATAAAATTAATATTATTACTTACGAAACGAACTACCTGTTACTTTAAGACCGTTTCTGTTTTTTTACAGAAACTTGAACGAGGAAATCCAAATGCTACGATGGTGGATGCCAAAGCACACGAAAACATTCCCAAAAATCGATATCGTGATATATCACCCTGTAAGTTATCTAATTTATATAGACTCGAATTTTGCGTTCTTGTGGTATCAATCTAGTTTTTCTATTTGCTTCAGATGACCATTCAAGAGTTCGGATTCAAGGCGTGGATGGTGATTATATCAATGCGAGTTTTGTCAAGGTGCCTTTGTCTGTTTTTTGCACTAATCGTTGTGTAAATGTTTTAGTAGCAACTGTTTTTTTTGAAATGAATAAGCCTTTTACGAAGATTGTGTGTATCGATTTTAAATCTCATAGTGTTCTTATTAAATGTTTCTTACTCCATTTGACTACACTATTTGTTAGTAATTACAAATGGAATGTTGATTTAGTACTATTCTGCTTGAAATAAGCAGATTTGAGGCTTCTATTACTCTCAAATATTTTAAATTTTTCGCCAATTGTTCATTTTTAGCTCAAGCTGTTTCATTGATTTGCTCTGTTCATTTTTAATAGACCTACCAATCACCTTTGGTTTTGATTGGTTGATTATTGTCGTGCAATCCAATGTTTCTAATAACTCTTTTCAGCTGAAAATCCCAAAATGGAGTCTGCAAAAGGAATACATTGCATCTCAGGGTCCGCTTCCATCAACTTGTGCGGATTTCTGGCAGATGTGTTGGGAACAGGAGAGCGAACTTATTGTCATGCTCACCTCAGTTCGTGAACAAGGGAGGGTAAGCATTCTTTTTTGGCTTTTATTTGAAGTGACAGGGGTTTAACATTTCCATGACACATACCTTCATTCGAAATACGCAAACGCTATCATTTTTAGCTTGCTCTTACGTTACCCTCTATGTTTATTGTATCTCCTAACTAAGCTTATTTAACGTTTATTGAACTCGATTAAGCAGATGCCGACTACGCTTTCATTTGGGTAATGGATAGGAAATTCAGGTACTGGATGGAGGGAGGAATTGCACACAGAATAGAATAGGGGTGGAAAGCTTGGTTGCGATGATACGCGAAGTAAGCTTTTAGTCTAATTAATGTAAGAGATGAGCCCAGTGCCAATTTGTTTTATTTTTATCACTACTCCGCTTTGTTTAACGATAGTACTTTCACTACGGACACCACAGTTCAAATCTACAGTTAATGTTTTTCACATTTTTTACAGGTGAAATGTCATAAATATTGGCCAGACCTAAATCAGACTTCCGAGTTCACCTGGACTCATGCAAAATCCAGCAAACTTACCTCATCAGTGAAATGCATCCAGCTACGAATTTCTAATATTAAAGAGGAAGTGACAGCCGATATAGCTTACCGTGAATTCCAGCTTCAGCGGGTTGTTACAACAACCAAGGATATGCTCAATTCAACCGGTCCAACTAGACATCGTATAATTAACTTCTCTCACGACAAAGGCCCTGCGATATTGAATGGCTCTGATGTTCGGCGAATAGTCCAGCTACAATACATTAGTTGGCCTGATCATGGCGTTCCTAACAACTGCAGTGATTTGATTGCATTTGTTGAGCGAATGCGCAGTCTGCGAGAACAGAGCGACTCACCATGTACTATTGTCCACTGTTCAGCTGGAATTGGACGAACTGGAGTTGTCATCCTCTTAGATACCGCTATGGATATGATCCGAGCTCACATACCTGTGCGGCCAATTGAAATTGTTCGCCAAATGCGGGAATATCGTGAAATGCTCATTCAAACTCCCGTGTGTTTATTTCTGAATCCATTCTGCTTATTAGAATTAAGTAGTCGGGGCTTTATAATTTTTTTCTAATTTCAGGCTCAATTCCAATTCGTATCCAATGCGATTGTACAATACTATTACGGTCAGAATGCATTCTTCTATGTTGCTACTAAATAAGATGCGTTTAATAAACTAAACTTTTTTTGACTTTAAAGACACAATGCTCAAGGGCCACAAAACGAAAAAGAGCTGACTTAGTGGCAAAGTAAAGAAATCTTGTGTATAGTGAAAACCTCAATCCCTGAATTTCTACGTATACATTAATACTGAAAGTAATCTTATCTGTAAATCTTTTCCTTTGATATTGAAGGAAAGTTTGTAGTCTTTCAAATTCCCTGAAGAACAAAACGACCTCGAAAGCATAGACTGCCTTCGAATCGAAAAAAAAGTTGAGCCAAACACCTATTCCTGCATATCACTTATTCCCACTTCAGACTCGCTGTCTATCTCCTACCCAGAATACTTTGGCTGTGCGAATCCCCCAAGTGCTCTTTTGTTTGTGATTAGTAGTACCAACCTACCGTGAATCCGTTGAGTCAGAAGCTATTTCTATTTCAAATCTATCTCTTTCCTCCCCTCGATTGATTAATATACTTATACATTGTATATATCTGTCTTTTTCCTATCTCCTAACTTTTTATCTTAAATCTAAATTTAAGCCATTGAGCAAAGTAACATATAAACAGAGCTAAAGATCCTTAAGTATGAAGATCCGGAAGCATTTACCGATCAAATACACATTGTACAAATATCCTCAGCATTAATCTTGGGGAAAGCATAAGAGAAGGTTTGAGGCATTGTGAATCTTTAAAAATGAGAAGAGGAATATACTCAAGAAACCAAGATGAACTTTTAAACAAGCGACTTGAAAAACCCTAATAGTGATTCAGTAAAGCTCATGGAAACGCTTGGTACTAGAATAGGAAAAAAAATTCAGAATGCAACAAATCCTACCTAATCCCAAAGAGATGCGAATGCAAAAGACACTACTAAGCGAGTTGAACGACATAAGCAAGAGTGAAATAGGCAGCAAAATTTTACTAATATGAAGACCAAATAAGAAGTATCTTTCCTGAAAAACGAGTCCCTATGTTGGAAAAAATTTAAAAGCAGCAAATAGCAGTTCTAGAAAAAAGAGCGTAAGTTAGTCTACTACCAATATCCCAATAAAGCATTCAGTAAAAAGGCAAGGCTGTTATAAACAATATTAAGGTATTCAACTACTCGAATATTCATTCATTTGAAAATACAATTTTACTTTCTATACCAAAATTGTTGGGTTCTCATATATTTGATTTTCTTTTGAAGCTGCAAAATTGAGTAAAGAAGGGCCTCAGCTGTAGGCGGGCAACCTTGGTGCGAGAAAAAAAACAAATAGCACGAAAATGGCACAAGTTAAGAAAGTTATCACAACGGATAAATAATTACCGGGAACGTAGATATCAATTGGGATAATACGGTCGACTCCACGAACCACACTGTAGCTATAGTGATAATATCCACCACCGTTTGCACAAGATCCCATGGAAATTGCCCATTTTGGATGAGGCATCTGATCCCAAATACGACGCAAAGCAGGAGCCATCTTGTTGGTAAGAGTACCAGCGACAATCATGAGATCGGTTTGACGAGGACTAGCCCGGAAAACGACACCAAAACGATCCATATCATATCGTGGTCCAGCCATTTGCATCATTTCAATAGCACAACAAGCCAAACCGAATGTAATTGGCCAAATCGAGTTCTAGAGCAGGTTAGAATATGAGGGAATTACTTTTCGAGCCCAATTAACAACATCATCCATACGTGCAACAACATATTCGGCTTTATTTGAAGGCGAAACACGGAAGGGACTATAAGGCTTGTATTTCTCAACTTCTTCATATGGTTTGTTTGGATTGGGAGCTCTATAACTGAATAAAATATAAACTAAGAACTACGGTTGCTTCAGGCTATTTGGTTCAGCACATAGAGCTGAAGTGTGGAGAGTAGAAGACAAAAAGTATTTTGGAAGAATAACTGATCTTGTAGATCTCGACAAGGCTTGCATCTTAACAAATTACTACGGAAAATTCGCAGTGTTCGCCAATAAGTTAGGTAGCTAAAATGAATTTAATGATCGTAGCTACAATATCTCCAAGTTTGTTCTTAATCTTAGCAATAATATTATGATTTTGAGAATTTATTATTTTAAATATTTGACTTTTTCATAAAAAGAGTCAATAATTTATCCATTTAAACTATCTTTTTCTCATGAAATTATTATCAACTATATCACATAATTACGTGTTTTTCTAGAGAAAATTGGTTTTATTTATTATGTATCGTCTAACTAGATGATGTTTGATAACAATTATTAAATAGGAGGCCATGACTAACCAATTTGTCAGGGGTTAAGGTTTATATATTTGTCTCTATATATTACCCAAGTATAAGTTATTTAAATGACATGATAACTGATATATTTCCCTGTTTATTAATACATTTTAAAATTATTATTTATTTGTCCAAAATTTCCATCAGGTTATTTTACTTGGCATAGATTTCGTATTCCAATATAATATTTGTGTCAGCTATAATCAGGTCATCAGCATCTATGGATATCTACAATATTCTTATGTAAATTCCCCTTAATTCACTCCTGTTTCTAACTGGTTATTTCCACACACTTCACTCCTTTTTCTTAGAATACGTTTTTTCTGCGAATTATTCCGAATTATGAAGTATGGATCAAACTGTGCCTCCGGTGGGTACTTGTTTAGCGCGGAGGCGGCGGAAACACATTTCATAAACATTAGGTACAGTATCATGAGAACTTCTCACTGAGTGAGTTTTCATATATGCCACGTATTTACTCCCTGTCAGCAGCGACACCTGGTAGGGTATAATCCTTTTTCAGGGCTGCTCATACACAATGAGTTAAAAGAGTTAGTCGAGGATAGACACGATTGACATGTTTGACGTCAGTGGGCATAGAATGACATCCGACTATTTCGGATATTAGTTTGAAACAAGAACAGAATTTGCTAGGTTTCATATTAGTCTTAGAACTGCATTGGGTTGACCAAGTCATTGTAGTCTAAGCCCGTGTGGTTAATATTTCGATCGCCTTCTTCTGTGATCTATCCTATTTTTAAAAAAAGGTTTCTTCTATATGCCCTTCAACTTACCTCCCTATCAAGAGGTCGGAGACCTTGACAATACCGGAGTCATTGTCGATCAAGAATCCAGATGGTAAACTAATAGTACTCCGGTGAACGGGTTTGATAGAATTTGCATTCGTCTCCACGTAGATATCGAAGCGTGGCTCAGAATTTCAGAATCATAAGGGAATCGGAGACAAAGAATTCAAATTTGTTTACTAAATTGGTCTTATTGGAAGTGCCGAGTCTGAAATTAGTACAGATTCGGTTATTTTTTACTACACAAAGTTGAATATTCTATCTTCGCTCGTGGCATACATTGAAGAACAAAAATTCTATTGAAGGAAGATTTATTATCATTAAGGACCGGATATGGTTTATTAATTGTCTTTTAATAAGTTAGATCGATAGTATCCGTTGGATGATAGGCGAAGTCTGAGCCATGGTCCCTTCGACTGAATTTACGAAGCAGTATAATAATATAACCAGTACAGGAGTGATCTGTTATGATAATTTCATAAATGCCATTTTATCAAACATGCCGAGTTACGTAAATTTCACATATAAGAGTATTAAAATGAAAGTTGACTGCGTCTTAATGTTGCCTTCGGATTCCTATAGGCGTGAAGATGATTCTCACGAAGTAGAGATTTGGACTTCATATCACTTTGTTCGCTTGCACCAGCCTTTGTTTGATCGATTAATATTTAATTATTTAGTTCAAATGTCAAGCTTTATGATAGTTATCATTAGCTCTTTAGCTGACTCTGGTCTTCACATAGGAGAGGAACATCAAAGTTACAAAAAGACGAGAGGGGGACAGAATAATGATTCACAGATTTAAAGGTGACAGACAGATACAAAGGTAGTGAATAGGTAAGATAAGTATTGTGGAAGCGGTCGAATATGACATACAGTGGGGTGATGGTAGTTTGAGGGCAGAAGTCAACTGCCGGATTATAGACTTTTTCGTCGTATGAGTATACGTTGCCCAGGGTGTACCACGTGGAGGTAAGTCTATCGTACACCCCTAATCGATTAATATTACTTAGCATTTACGCAAAGGGCAACTGGAAAACACTTCACTTAAAAGATGAAAGCATAGGTTCTTACGTATGAGCTCTATTTATTTTCTTAAATGCATTGTAAACTAAGAAGTTGTGGTTAACTTGGACCTCTCCAAAGTCGGAAATCTAGTTCTTAATGTCAATCTCCAGTAAAGTTATATGGTAACATTAGGGTTTATCACTAAGATTGGGACTGGAAATAATTTTCAAATGCCTTTTGAAGTTTGTTAACTCATCAAAAGAATTAAAGTTAAATCTCCTTCTTTAATGATGCCACCACTTGGCAATCATAGTACCTAATGCCCGTAAACTTAACTAAAAATTTCTCCACGAAAATTCTTCCCATTCTCGTAAAAAGCTATTAAATTCTCATTTATAATCAGCTGATCGTTTACCTTATTTTTTTGTTGTTAATATCCTGCTTTACTTATATGAGTTGTAAAAGTTTATATCAATACCATTTTGTACAAAAAACTACTCTATTTTATATGTCTTTCATGCCTCAAAGTTAATTAATAATTTTATTAATGCATGTATATTTAATTATGATAACTTTACGTACTGGTTATTTAGTTGTCTTTCAAATTCCACAGTGTCGGAGTCCATGGGCTTGCAACCTTAGGTGCTAGCGTGTAACTAATGATTACAATCATCAAATATGCTCAAAATTGGCATTTGTTAATGAGTAAATTGTGAACAAATTGTTTATATGCTTTACTTGAGCTCTTCTGAAGTACACAATTAGATTTTAACTCCAATCATTGACAATCAACTCTAAGTGCATATGGAGGGTAAAGGTTGGGAGGTAACAGTTAAACCTGTCTATTAGATTTGCAGAGGTTGAAATTAATGAGTATGGGATTCATTTTCACTTTTCTCATTCGCTTTACACTTGAGGTGTCGAGATTACCTTCTTAGTTGTGAACACTAAAATGAATTACATTGATTTTCCAAAGTCCGTCCAGGGCGGTTAAACGGAAAATTCCATTTCTTGAAACTATTTTTGGAACCAAAAAACCACGCCCCCCCCCCTGAATACAGGATTTGATTATCTCACCTTTAGATACGGAATAGATATAACAACTGCTCTAGTATCTATAAGTGATTGAAGCTACAAATTCAACTATCTTACAATAAAGCAAATTATTGAGCCGTGTTTCCAACCAGCATTAAAAAATTCCGAAAGGAAACAGACTATGCAATTCAGAAATTTCTGTCCTGGAACAGCTCACTTTTCGATTGACACGAATACTTTTAAGTGTAACTCAGCTATTATGGATGACGATCATACCAGGCAATAAATTATATTTGACAGCATTCTCGTAACTCACTTTTAAAGAATCAGTACAAATTTGTCTGATATTGAATAACGGTTTTGAATATACGTAACAACACTCCCATCTTACGAGTTTTATTGCTATTATTTCGTACAAGTTATGAATATCAATTTATATACCCGACTAATTAATCGGTTGAACATATTAGTTATCCATTCATGCATTTCAACTACATTGTACCAAAATTCACCGAAAATAGCCAAATTAGTAATCCTGATGACACACATTATTTGTTTCGATAAAACATGATAATGCCGAAAAACAAAGGTAAATTTTTAAATGGCGAGAATGTTTACGCACTTAATCAACATCGAATGTACTCATGTTGATGATTGTGCTGTCCTTTTACATCGTTTTGCACACTTAATCAGGAACCAATTCCCCAGTCATCTCTTTGGCACATATCCGGATTTGCTAAAACAGTAATGTTTTTTTGTCAATGTACTAACATGGAGCACCTACAAATTTTGATTCATTGGCAACGATGAGTAAATGCCAAGTGCAGATGACATGAAATGTGATACTTCACGAGGAGACTCAACTACTTTAATGTGATCGATTTCCTTATACTGTCAAGTGTGTCTAGCTTGTCTATTTAATAGCTCGTAATTGACAGGTATGCTGGTAAACGAACCCATTTCTTCATTGTTTTTGAATCTTTTATATGCGACTTTCTAACTGCCACACACGAAGGCAACAAAGACTGCTTGTTAAAAGAAATTGAGTGTCAAAATTTTGTATTCCCATAAGTTTTCATATATTGAAACAAATTTTCAGGAATATACACCTACTTGGCATTGCAGAGGTTGCTAAATGCTTGAGGATTTAATAAAATCTCTGAGATCTTACTGTAACCCACTACACTCTCGACCTCCTGCTGTGTGTAGAGATTTTGAATATTGTAAATAATTTATGAAGGACAAATGACGTTGCATAAAGAAACGTTATATGCAAAGTTGATGTTTCTATCAATAAATGGAAGTGGCCTGTTCCATTACAAACAAAGTGACTTAGCAGGTTGAGTGACTTGACTTATTCTCTCACTGTATGCCTGGACGACAATTAATCAGTATTTACTCGAGTTCTTTAAATTAAATGCGAGATTATCTCCCTTAAAAGTACTCTAATAGCACTTGTTATGCTTTGATTAACATGATATACAGAATTTAACAAATTGGTACATCACATCAAAATCACTCAGCTAGAAGCCACTGAATTATATAAAGCACTAGAATTAAGTGAAATGGTAGAATTATTTGCTTTTAAGAACCCTTTAGGTGAGAAAGCATAACATGTCAAGCAGATCACGCTACTTGATTTATTTGAAGCAAAGAAGGAATGACAATGTTTTGGTTAAGAAAGAAACTCGAACGAGAGGCCTTGTGAACGTAAATAAGAAACAATTCGAACAAAAATGATCGATAATGTAATCGAATATGTATATGAAGATGAGAATAATTGAAGACCCATCCAAAATTAGATGCATATGAATTGAATCGGCTT